AAAATCCGGACTCAACATGCAAGGTTCGGTTTCCGAGATGCAAACTGGCTGGGGTCGTACTACTACTACTACTACTACTACTACTACTACTTCTACTACTTCTACTACTTCTACTACTTCTACTACTGCTACTGCCACTGCTACTGCTACTACTACGACGACGACTATTAGCAATAACAACAACCGTAGCCGTGGAAGTCGTTGTAGTTGTAGTAGTAGCAGTAGTCACCTTAGTATAGTCACCTTAAGCCCGCAATCTTCAGGTGAAGCAGCAATGGTTTCTGGCAGATGGCAGTGCTCAGCCAGGAGATGGCGACAAGCTTTGGCAAATCCCGTTGCTGCCTGGGCCTCTGAAGGACTCGAAGCCTGCTGTCAAAGCTTCTGAATTTCTAGTTGTACTCATAATTGACTGTTGTTTGTATGTATCTGTATAAGTTAAACAAATGTAGGCAGGTATGCATGCACGTGCGTATGTGTGCAAGTAACTAAGTACCTATGTATGTGAGTTCGGTGGTGTGTGTGTTGCCTGTTGTTTGTGTAATTTGCTTAATTTGTTGTTTTGTTTGTACGTGTGTGTGTGTGTCTGTGTATGTCTATGTGCGTATTAGTGTGCATGTATTTCTGTATATGTATGTGTATACTGTTTCTTGCATATGCAGACATGTTTGAGACGTGTGGCTCCAACTTCTCCCGGATCGCTAGTAAAAGCTGAATTTCAAGAGTCCGGTTTAAAGCCTGGCGATATACCAGCTTTGGGTGCTGAATGAAGAGTGGGAGACCGCTTCGCAATTGTGCTTCCTCAGTACTGAGCTTACTGGCTTCTGCCCCCGAGCAGTGGCATGTGTTCTAAGGGCAGAAGGGCAAACACACAAACTGCAAACCTTCAAAGCCGAGGCCGGCCATGCAGGAGCCGAAAAACGAAAACACCCCTTAATTAATCCGAGACCTCCCAACACAGGAGGTCACCCAAAAGGGCAAGCAACCGCTCCCACTGCTCGACAAGAAGACGGACACCTGGGATGTTCCTGCAAATGCAGGGGCTTGGATTTTGGTCTGCGGTTGAAGGTGTCAGGGCCCAGGGTTCAGGGAGGGCTTAAGGTTTAGATTAGAGTTCTAAGTTAAGGGCTCGTACGGTTTAGGTTTCGGGGGAGGTCGGCCGTACCCTAGCTAGGTGTGTGAGGATTTTGAGGACTTGTTGGGAATCTACGAGATTCAGGACGTTCGGGATTCTATGTGACTTTGGGGGAGACTGTTTGATCTAGTATGAACTGAATGTGCTGTTGTGCGATATCCCACAGCTCTTGTTGCATGGTGCCCTCAATCACTAGCAGGGAATGAATACAAAAGAAAGATGCATACATACATACGTGCATGCATGCATATCGCCAACATGCGCCATGCAATGCATATAAACATTCGATATGAGCCCCAATGGCAGCCTGGGGTGTTGAAGGTATTAATTGATTGGTCCGCCTTCACTTTGATCCTCCACAGCTTGTGTTCTTGAGCTTCCTGACCTGGGTCGTCTCGGTGATTTGCTGTGCTTGGCTCGGTGATGTTCGACAAGCCTGAGCCAGGGGGCCCCAAGCTTTCCAAGCTTTCTAGCAAGCCCTAGCACCGCCTGCACCCACACCCTCAACCACACAAAAAGTTAGATCCGAGACCCGAACCTCACAAGCCCAGGATCAAGTTTAACTTCGGCCAGCTTGCCCCGTACCGCGTGCTTTATGCCAGCCCAACTTTGAGGCCTCTGGGCGCAGGGTATCAGTCTTTATGTATCGAGAGCCTGCTTCTTCCCCCGACTCCTTCCCCGTGTTAGTTGTCCATCAAAGCTGGAGGGTTTTTATCTTCGCCATGATGCCGCATCTGACCGCATCAAGCCTCAGCCCTAAATCACTATAGATCCTTGGGGACACATATATATATACATATACATATATATATATAAAAGGCTAAACATGGAATAAACAGATATCTAAGGACGTGGAGTTAAGAGTAGACTTGAGGGTCTAAGGGCGTTCAAGGCTTGTTTAGATTTTTCTTTCGGGGTCGGAGTGTTTTTTTGCTTTAGGGTTTCAAGGGGGGTTTAGGGCTTGGCGTTATTCTGAATTGCTTGTCGTGTGTGTGTGTGTTCACATGTCTGAAGCTCCAGGTCGCAGCTTTCTAAGGCGGTTCGCTCCGGAGAGGCCTCAGCAGTCGACCGACTCTCGGGCTTTTTTTGCAAGCGTTTGAGGTTGGCTGTAGCCTTTTTTTGAAGTGCCAGTGTGGTGGGAGAAGAGATTTTGATATTTAAGAGTTCTATGTTCTCCGTTTTGGGATGTTGTTTAAGGGTGTAAGGGACTTTGGGGGTTGGGGGTTCAGGGTGTTCTGGGGTTTAGAGTGTTTTCTTCTGGCTTTGCTTCAGAGGTTTGGGGACAATGTTTAGAGTTTAGAATTTGGTGGTAGATTGCGCAGTGCGTGTATGTGTTGAGTCGTGAGCTGTTCTGTTGTTTGAATTTGGGTTTTCTGTAGACTGAGTGTGCTTTTGCGGCTGCTCGGTCTGCTTCGATTTTCTGTGAGCTTCATAACGCTTTTGAGCCGGATTACTTTCAACCGTTTACCTCTCAGCCTGCCACGACTCGCCCGGAAACGCCTCGTGCGGAATTCCTCCTAGCTTGTCGCATCCAGGACCCGCGCGGTTTTGCACCAACTCCCTAACCCCAGCATCCCACACCTTTTAACCGAGCTTCTGCTGCGCATTCGGGAAAAACGCTTCGGCTCCTCCTGGAGGAGCAAGTGCTACAAATTTGAAACCTCGTGTCCCATGAACCGACAACTCAGGAATAGGCTTGCTCATGGACGCCATGGCCTTCGCGAAGCAGGTCTGGGCTTTCCTAGGATGTTGGGTGTGGCTTCGGGGGAGAATCTTGGGCCATGTTGATTTCTTGCGGCCAGGCCGTGTTTGGAAGCTGCAATGACCGAGCCAAAACAGGATTCCTAAGAGCGACAGCAATAGTAAGGAGTACCAGCCAGTAGTGCCTATTGGAAACTACGTTCGCCCAGGGCCAGCAACCCATCCACGAGCTGCTACGCCTTCTGGCTGCTTTCAAGGCTGAGAAGATGACGCACGTGCCTGGGACCCACCGGATTTCCCCTGGCAAAGTTTGTAAAGTTTGTAACATTGAATTCACGTTTATGCACTTTTTTTTTGCTGTAGCAGCGGAATCCTCTGATAAATTGGGCTTTTAATGGTATGCCTGACGTTCCTAGTAGTACGTAAGGACATGAAACTCAGGGCCAGACGCCAAGAGAGTTCCCGGAAATCAGTCCAGGTGTGGGAGGCCCTGGCCAGTGTTCTGGGAACCCTGTACCGGACGGTGTCTGCAATCCAGAGCAGCGAGCGACCTTGACCTTCTTGGAATCTTCCGTCGGGCTCTATGGTTTCCAACCGGGAGGGTCATGTCGAGCCTAAGAAGTCCCAGAATGACTCATGCTTGGGAACTTGGGTTCAGATGTGATTTGCGTGGTTGCACCAAGGTATACCCTGGCCCTCCAGCAGGCCGTGGGCAATGGCCTCCTTCGCGATGCTCTTGTGCAGACCGGCTGGTCCCCTTCGGAGCAAGATAGCGACCTGCTGCGGCAAAAGCGAGCACTAGTGCTTGCCCTGGTCGCAAGATACATGCCGCAGGACAAGGAGGTCCGGAAAGAGGCGCAGAAAAAGTTCGATGCCTGGTTCCAGGCACCGACCCTGGCGATGAAGCAAAGCCTTCTACCAGACGATCTGAAGACCTCTGTGTTCAGAATTGTTCTCACCAACGCCAACGGCAACGCGCAGTACCAAGCCCTTCGTCGCTACGTGAAGGGATCAGACACGCCGCAAGCTGTGCGCCTCAGCATCTACAAAGCGCTGGGGGCAGCCCCACGGAAAGATTTGCGAATGATTCATTGCGGCAGCCATGGGTGTTCTCTCTAACGTCGCATACAGTCAATATTACAGAGAGCTGTAACGATCTCACGTCATGTTATACAAAAGGTAAATCCATATAGTCGTTATGGCCATAGTCACCGTCATATTCATATTCATAGTACTTACCGTTCATATTGCTAAACATCTCAACGAGGCAAGTGATGCGTGTAATGGTGTCATGTGTTTGTCGCAATCTTGGTTACTCCTCGGGACCCATCGGGCACGGAGCACAGGAAGACGCTGGACATGGCAATGGGAGGTCGCAATGGAGTCCGACTGCAGGACATCATGTATCCAATACAGGCCAGGGATGTTTCTGAGCGGGGCTCGTAGGCTTGAGACTTTAGGCTTGCAGGGCTTAGGGATGTTTGGGGTTTTAAGGTGTGTGACAGAGAACGGGTGTAGTCTTTTCGCATCTCATAACGTCATGAAATGTTTGGAGTGGGTTAAAGCCTCGCTGCTAGCATTCTTCCAGCCAGTTCTCAGAAAGGTGGTGGCGTTCCTGCTTTTGACCTTGTCGCGATCAGCTGTAGCTATTTCAGAAAGAGTTGTGATAAGGTTCTTATTCAACTGCAAACAATTTATTATCGTGACGAGTTTCGAGAATCGAAAATCGAAAGAACCTCAATAAAGTGTATATGACCTACTTGGGCCTCTGCTTGTGCATAGATCCATGTAACACACAACAGACGTCGTTACAGCGAAACAAGACGCATACAAACAGAGACGGACAGGTCACGGGTGATGGAAAACCCAGAGACGGAGACGGACTTTTCCACTCCCTCCCTCCCCCTTCCTGCACTCTTGTCCTTGCTTCCAGCTTCATGCAGGGAGTCGCCGCCATGGATCGGGAGGGTGCGCAGATTGCGTGGCGCTGGCTCCTCTTCGGGAATGGATAGATGAGTGTTGAGACACTCAACTCTTGAGTTTCCTTAACCTGCCCCGGCATATCTGAATCCTGAGCGGATGAGAGCGGGGTCCAACCTTGCACGTGCATACAACGATCCTGCCTTCTGGGTATATGAAGTATAAACACGCATGTAAGCGGGACTCCACCCCTCTTTTCTGTGAGGTCTTTGTGCTCGTGTGATTTTGTGGCTCCTGCAGAGGATGTGTTAAGTTGAAGCAGAAAGAAGCACAAAGTGGCACAGCATCGAGGCCAAACTGAAAAGATTGGATCGGGCCCGCAGTAGATCTTATGGGCCCAATTGAAGGCCGCTAAGCTACAGCAGCGAGGTTCCTGCAGCGTCGTCGTGCCATCACCGGTCGCCTCCGAGGCGCATTCTCTGCTGTACAAGAGGCTCAGGTGAGAAGTGAGAAATGGCTCCGTGATGCAACGCAGGATTTGGGTTTGGACAGGAATACCCTTGCACACTCGCGGAGAGGTTTCTGTCATTCCATGTGTGCCCCGCTTGCTGTGCAAGCTTAGCAAGTCGCCAGTCGTAGACTAAAAAGCAAGTGGAATCCTACTGATTTAACCGTGCCAGCTTCACTTGGCCAAACGAGTTTGACGTCCAGCTCGACCTGGCAACAGTCGGCCCCGTGCCCCTAACAGCGCATGACAATAGCAATGTACAGCTACACGAAGTAGACAGCAACAGAAATGAGAAGCATGCATGCACTTTGATACCCACTTTGGTCGAAATGGTGCACATGCTAGCACAGAGAACTGCATGAGGGTGGGTACAAGGCATACCGGTGCACAATCCTTGTACAAAACCATACGGCAAGGTACCATGCTGCACCAATGTACAAATTTTGCGCGTACTGGTCGGTAATGCACCCTAACGTGCATTCTGTCCTTATGCTATAGCTATGTACGTGTACACGGAATGTGACACTGGACATGGCAACATGTAGCCATGGTCGATACCCTCTAGCAGGATCTGCTAGTAGCTAGTATCTCACGATACTATGCGACACCTTTAGAAACATAAGATCTGATGAATACAGCTGACTAGTAAGACCTGACAATATGCACGGTAGGGTTTCACCACATTGAATAGCACAGAAGAGTTTTCTATAGGTACAAATGGTAGTGGATGGCAGTGCTATCTCCAGGAGCCAACGTGCGCCTCTTGGGCTCTGTGATAGAATGCGCTGCTGGGGCGCTGCCGGACAAGTCTCACGCCAACGCCGTTGAGGCTCCGGGAGGATTTCGAGTTTGGGACGCCCGCAGATCAGACTCTTTCCGCAGTTTCTTCGCCAGGTTTCATTCGAGACGTCGAGCGTGAATAGTTGACATGTGATGTTTTTGTCCCGGGGCGTGTCCCAAAGTTTGTATGTCTTGCTTCTGTGCTTGGTCCACTGGCTGAGCTTGTTCAGAACATCTGGAGCGCAATGTGCAACAGAACACGAGTAATTGGCACCAAGATTCTGAACTTTCAGCAGCAGCACAAGCACTCAAGAGATCTCAAGGGCCTGTGCCCGAAGCTGATGTCTTTGACCAGTTGAGCTTGACTGAAGGCTCTCTTTGAACAGCATCCGGTGCCTGGATTAGAGCGCAGCATCGCGCAGCTGGTGGAGGCAAGGGTTTGACGTAGGGGTGCAGGCCTTTAGTTACAGTCTTTTCCCGTGCGGTTTGTACCGCAACTAGGGTTTGCATAGGGGAGGGATGTTTGGGGCCCACAAGGCTTCGTAACGAGGGGATGGACAGCTTGATTTCCTGTGACCTTTGTGTGCGTGGCCAAAATCCCCCAAACTCTTGAGGCGATACGCACAGAAGCCAAGTTCGTTGCGCGGATGGAGGATGAGATGAGCCGGCCAGAAATGAAGGAAGTCCTAGAAGCTTTTCAGGAGTGACCTGAATGCTTATCAGGGGCCCCAGCCCTCGCAGATGCGCGTTAGTGGGCGATCACGAGCGAACCACTTCTCGCTGCCATTGCTTCAAAAAGAGGCAGGTCAACATCTTGAGCTGCGTATTCCATCGAGGATGCCAAGACAGGCGTACAATGTGAGGTCCCAGCAGAAGTCAAGTTCAGATCCCTATCCCTATGTGTTCGTAACATTGGGAGTTTGTGACTGCTTTCAGAGGCAATAAATAATGTATATAATGTATACACGTATACGCATATCCGCATATACATGTACATGTTCATGTTCATTCTCACATACATACGCACATGTACACACACACACATGCTCAATTTACGAAAGTTGCTGGCACTGCACAAGTTGCTTTGAAGTAGCATCTCAGATGTTCAGGCTTGGTGTACTAGTTGCTACAGCTTGTCGCAGCCTTTTTCCAATCAGACATAGATACTTGGCAGGCTCTCCGGGGCTCTGCGGGTCTTTTAAACGCAAGTTATGCGAAACCTGGACGGCGAGCTGAAGCACTTCCCGAACCGACCACATTCCTCAACACCCATCTTTCAAAGCAAGAGCTCAAATTCCCGTGCACGACTAGGGCCTGGGAGCTTGGTTAGAGCAGATCACCTTGGAAGACGCGTTGCCACCAAAGGCAGCCACAATTCACAGGTGTTTCTGCGAAGTCGCGCAATCGGACTCACATCCCTCCGAGCTCAGATGCTACAGTCTAAAGTTTTGGACAATTCAAGACCCGGAGGGGGTGAATGTTTACGATATGTAGCTCCACAGTGTAAGCAACATGGCTCCTGCCACCGACGGGCTGCCGATGGGCGAAGCTTGGCATGAGCCAGCCCCCAGACTGGAGCTAGTTTCGGACCTTGGGTTGGTGCAGGGTTCCTCGTCGGGTTCTGGATCCTCAGATGCGAATACGAGAGTTTCACAGTTGCAGGAATGCAGAATGGGGACGCAGAGACAGGAGTGAGATCTCTTGCCCTAGCGCCGTTACCACAGCTGGCACAAGAGCAGACAGAAATGCACTTCAGATTCATCAACAACCTCCTCTCTCGGGAAGCCTTGGATCTTGAAATCCCACACCCACAACGCCTTTGTACCTCGCCGGCGCAGAGGTCTCCCGCCGCAAATCTTCAGGCAGTCGGCTTGGGCAGAACGTGGAGTTCGGGAATTTTGGGCTTGTAACTTATAAAGGCATGAGCTTGAATCAAGTTCCATTATTGGTAGATCTGATCGTTGCATCGTTTTTACTTAGTGTTTCGCATGTTGGCATTTCTGGGGTCTGTTATAGGGATCTCCAGTTGTTTGCTTACCTTCTAGGGGCGTAGAGCAAAGCTCCCGGATCTCCTGTAGAGTCTGAGTCTAAGGCAAGAGAGAGAGCGAGAGAGAGAGAGAGAGAGAAACATAAGCGAGAGACATGTGGACCAGTGCAGGCGCGTGTGGTATGTTTCTTTTCCAAGCAAATAAACACACCCTGTAGCATAGCAACTCACAGCACCATGAGGGTTATCCACAAAATTGATGCCAATGGGTACGTGTACCGTGGTAAGGCTTTGCGCACCTATTTTGTCAGGCGAGGCGATCGCCGCTGTACTGACGACCTCCGCTGCGACAGTAACTGCCACGCAGCTGACTCGAGCGGCCCAAAGTGGGCTGCACGCACCGGCCTTCGTTATGTGCCCCTGCGCTGGGTTTTGAGGTTTTTAACTTTGCGCTTCTGGTTTGCTTGATCGTGCACCTGGCGAAGCTGAGTGTTGGTTTCAGGGCGTAGGGCCTGCAGCGACCAGCCGCCATCCGCCGAAGGCATCGAAGTCCCATGTTCTTGATGTCTCAGACTCCGACCTTGTAATTACTGCTGGTTTGTCTGATGGTCTGTCGCAGTGTTTTAGCTCGATATTGTCGCCATGTCCCTGGTTGCTTGCGCAAGGTCCCGTGTGGTTGTAGTTCCTCATGTCAGGTACATTCACATCGCCATGATGGCCTTGCTGCTGCCTTTGGCACGATCTTTGGCTCAGGGTGGGCGCTATGCCGCCAGCTCCAGGGACGTTTGCGTGTTCCTACCGCTCTGGGCCTCTGTTCTGATTACGCAAGAAGTTTGACCGTTTTGTGGCTTTTTTCGGCTCATTGGACCCAGAAACCATTCCTAGCGGGCCCCACACTTCCGGACGCTCTGACTGTGAAGCCTCTGTGTGAATCCTAATCGAGCTTTCTCGTGAAAGCATCTTGCTCGAACCCGTAAACTCCAACCCCCAAGCCCAAGAAACCAGAGTTAAAGACGATCTTGAAGCCGAATCCCCGAGGTGGTGTCCAACTACTCCCTAGTGCAGGCGCTCGCGCTAACGCCTGCTGGGGTGGTGCCTTTGACATCCTACGGCTAATGGGTTTACCACTTACAAGCAGGCTACACAGATGCCACAGGGTAGCTTGTATGTAGCAGTTCCGGAATGTGACACGTTGGTTACCCCAGAAAAGACCCAAGAGTTGGCCTTTCCATCCCAAGGTTGCTTGGCAGCCACGCCTACACATCTTGACGGTAGACCTTCTTTCAACAGGACATGATATGTTTTGCGTGCGACGCCCTGAAGCTTTTTTAACGAAATGAGTTCAGATTGTGGTGCGTAGAGTGCAGACTGAGGCTCATAACTGAAAGCTGTAGCGCTGGCGAGATAGCCTGGTACAGAGAAGCGAAAGCTCCTGCAACCCCTTAACATCCTTAACCAAGCATCCCAGTCCCAAACCCTAGGGCCTTGAACGCTAAAGGCATACCTCACCTTATGCGTAAGAACGCGCCTGCGCGCACTGCACCCCTAGGCAAGAAACCCGATGCCTCAAGCCTAAATACTAAATCCGAACCTGGATGAATCGATTCCTGGCCCAGGTGCAAACCCTTTTTGGCACGGGCCCGTCCCAGGCGACCCGGTTCTCTTTGCAAAGCCCAATACGGGTTCTAGAGTTTGCATCTAGGGACTCTGTAGTCTTTTAATCGCGAGGTTAACTTCATTATAGCTATGGAGATCTGAACAAACACTGTAGTAGCAGTGTAGTAGCTATCCTGCATCTCCGCAGCCAAACCTAGGGTCAAAGTTTGCCTGGCCTGTAATGAGATTGTAGTTCTACAACACTACAGAATTGAAGAAAACTGTTGGACAAACGGCACCTACTACACCGTCGGTATACTTCTGTAACCTGAAGGCATCAAGCATTGAGAGTTCCTCTGGAAATCGGAGAGAGAGATTCAGGTTTCACGGTGTAGGTCTTAGTTGCTATGGGCCTGGATGCCAAAAGGTCTTAGGTACGGCAAGATCAAGGTGCCGGCAGCGGGAGGGGACCTCAGCTGAAGCTTAAAGAACTCGAAATATCGAAGCTTCCTGATTCTGTCTAACATCTGAACTCCCCTGAACGCTTGGCCCTGAAGGACTCAGCAACCAAATCATTCGCCAGATCAAGTATCCGAAATCCTGGGCCCCATTGATTCCCAAGACGCAGCAACAGCAACCAGTATGATTTTTAGCGGGCCGCTTTCAGACCGGCTGCAGGGGAAATGATGCATGGCTAGAAATATTCCGTCTTCACTGGTCCTGACCGCCGTGCGAAAGCTGGCCCATAGAGCAAAGCCAGAAACCCAGGCTCCAAGACTTCGACTGCGGGAGTCGAAGCGGGAAATTCATGACAGCGCATTCAAAACTCACACAAGATGATCGACTCCTGCTGCGTGTATGTGCCTTAAAGCTGCTAGAGCCTGGACTAAAGACCCTCACACCTAGCCAGGTTGCGTTGCTCAGCCGCATTTTCCTGGCAGAGCGCTTCACCTTCGCGAGAACAGTAGCTGTCCTTCTTGCTTTTGCAGGACCAGTTATGGCTTTAGAGGCTCTAGGGCTTCGGGTCAAAGGGACCTAACACCAATGCCGGTACTTGCGTGCAGGCATATGCAGGCCATTTCTGCAAGTGATAAAAATTCCGATGGGAAGCAGCTGTACAACGAATATTAAGCACATGGAAGTCGCCTGGGCTGCATACACAAATTACCGCCCTGCTATTTGGGGAAGGCAATTCAAACAAGTAGCCAGCACAGCAAGGCTGGCGCTTGTAGACAATGATTCCTTGGTCGAAAAGCATCTCGAGATATGACCAAGGGCTGCACAAGATCAAGAGAGCTTACACGCCACTAGCGGCTGTGCGGAAGTGTTACTTAACTAGATTTCATTGCCTGCTTGCCCTGGGCAAGGACGAGAAACAACGCACTTGGCCTGAAATCTATATGGAAGGAACAGAAGACAAGCTGCAGCTCCCGGTTGTTTCAAGCGATGGCCCCAGAAAGCACGTGGTGCAGGAGCTACTGTGCTGGCTTCCAGATCTGGTTTCCAGCGCAGCTTTGCTCGACTGCTGGATCTGCAGTCTAGAGACTGCATACTACAGGTATGTGTCTGGAGAGTTTTGCGCTGGACCGGACAACTGGAAGGATCAAGCTACACCTGAAGCCAAACAGTCCTAGAGCCTCAAAGCCGTGAAACTGCTTTTCAGCTCGGTGAAGGCAAATCCGGGATGAACGTCGTCCTCGGCTCCTTCTTTGCCCTGGCAGCTGTCTTTGCATCGGCGTTTCAGCCGCATCTTGTGCCTTCCCAGCCGGGGGGGTCTGAAGAGTTGCTTTCGGGCCGGTTGTAATGACCCCTCAAACAGGATTCTGGTGCTTGGAGCCTTCTGGGATCTCCCTCACTGCTCGAAGCACCCCTCAGGGCTTCAGGCAGAGACTCTGAAATGTGAAGCGAGAGAGCGGCGGAGAACAGCTGACAGCAGAGAGGGATCCGGGCTAAGCCCCCGCTGTCGAACTTGAGTTCCGTGTGGACCAGGCTTGCTACAAGGTGTCCTTCAAAGTTCGGTTGGGCGCTCCGCCACCACACGTCGTGCTTGGAACAGCTCCTCGCCTCGGTGGTTCGAAGAGTCGAAGTGGCTGGTTATTGATGCGGTAGGTTGAGGCATTTGTC